TAACCGTTTCACTATAACATACGGTGTTAAAAATACCAAATACAAACATACATAATCTTTATTCATATGGATATCAAAGTGTGAATAATATTAACCGTTTCACTATAACATACGGTGTTAAAAATACCAAATACAAACATACATAATCTTTATTCATATGGATATCAAAGTGTGAATAATATTAACCGTTTCACTATAACATACGGTGTTAAAAATAATATTACTTGTTTTTCAAATTTACCCATTAATTGCTTCGTGTTTTCTTGAAGCGGCATTAGTTATTCATATTTCAGATAAATTATTTAATAAATCAGTGCTTTTCCCAGAGAACCCTTCTTATTTAATTGAATTTTTTAAGTTTTTTAAAAATTTGCAGAAAAATCTTCCTCACAAGTTGATAGCAAAAAAGGTATGACCGATCAGGTTATTTCGATTGAGTAACTGATGTGTGACGGATTTATTATTATATATTTATTTTAATATCAACGTTTGTTTAGATTAAGTTTATGTTTATAAAAAAATGTGCATAGCTTATAGTGTTCAATATGTATTGCGAAATTCCTGCCTATTCTCTAAAGTTGTAGAAGATTCTCGAGTGTAAGAATCAACAATATGTGTTTACGTAAACGCTTAATGTAACTTTGTATTGTTACGTAATCTGAATTTTCTGGAAACTCTCCACACGCCTATAAATATAACCAACGCGACGTGCCAAGAAAAAAGAGTATATATATATTATTAGTTTGCTATAGTTAGTGTGCTATAAACTTCGGAAGCTATAACCGTGATTGTTACAACGCTTATCAAACGGAAAACTTCAGATATTTGACCAGGAGCATTTACAAACTTACATTAAGTGTTTACATACATACATATATTGTTGATTCTTACACTCGAGAATCTTCTACAACTTTAGAGAATAGGTGGGAGTTTTGCAATACATATTTAACACTATAAGCTATGCATATTTCTAAATATAAACTTAATCTAAACAAACGTTGATATTAAAATAAATATATATTAATAAATCCTTCACAGATGAAATAACTCTCCAGTAACCCAGCGGTACATTTGATGGATTATAACGCTAAAAACCGGGTTTTGATATCTGTGGTTGGCATAGCACAGATAACCCATTGTAACTTTGAGCTTAACAACAAACAAGACGTAATATTAAGTTCATAGCCTCCCCCTCGCTGGCTCAGCGTTAAGTATGAATGCTTAAAATGCTCAGAATTAGCTTTTGATACAGGCGATGAGCAGACCACAGAAAACCCACTTTGCAATTTTGCAATTAGCAACAAACAAAATATCAAGTTTATAAATCCCTGAGGTAGAAGACATCAATTTGAAGGTTCAGTGTGCTAGCTTATTAGGCTTAACGCATGTACTTCAGTTTTGTGCTACTTTTAATTTGTTTAACGTTTATTGCTTCGTTGTCTAGTATTCTTCTTAATGGCTTTTAAGAAATTTCTTTGATCTGTAAATATACTTTAACTAGGTTTTTCTGAACTACCATCATGTGACAACTGTATTTCTAAAATAAATATAAAATGACCTAAATATCAGGAATACTAAGTTTATTATAACTCGACATTTCGTCTTATATTTTCTTTTAACCTGAGTAATTAAGTCGTCATATTCAGCCGATCTCTGAGGGCCGGGCATGGCCAGGTGGCTAGGTCACTCGGCTCACAGTGCATGGGTCGCTGGTTCGAATCACCGTCACACCAAACATGCTCGCCTTTTCAGTCGTGGGGGCATTATAATGTCGTTGGTAAAAGAGTAGCCCAACAGTTGACGGTGAGTGGTGATGACTAGCTGCCTTGCCTCTAGTCTTTCACTGCTAAATTAGGGACGGCTAGCGCAGATAGCCCTCGTGTAGCTTTGCGCGTAATTCATAACAAACAAACCGATCTCTGAGTGTAGGTGGATTTAGCCGAAAGGTCAAACCAGGAGCTGATAGGTTTAATGGAGTATATAATGTAACAAACAATGTTTTGTCTTTATGAATATGTTATCGTCCAAAAATATGCTCCTCCATCATCAAAATAAACATCCATAATTTGCTTATAATTTTGATTGAGTGGAGTGAATCAGACTGCACGACGATAAATTTAAATAGTAATAAATTCGGGCAATAATGTAAAAAAAAAGGAAAGCATAGAACTCATGGGTTCAACCTATCAATCAAACATTTTTTTCTGAACAATCACATAACAGTTTTTTCACTGATTTCTATAATCCGTCACGAAATATATCTTTGTCTCTCTATACAACATAGAAAGAGATATTCAATAAAGTTAACAAAGTATTTCACCATTAATATATTGTTGTAGGCCATTGTAATATTGTAATTTAGACGTTTGATATTGTTGCCAGAGGAAAATTGGCATGATGTAATAGTGATGATGTATGATGTATAGACATTTCCTGAACGTCTTGACCTAACATAATGTCTCGAATTTTCGTAAGTGTTGGGGAAAATGAAGATTATAATACATAAAAGCACCCCCCCCCAGTGGCACAACGGTATGTCTGCGGACTTACAACGCTAGAAACCGGGTTTCGATACCCGTGGTGGGCAGAGCACAGATAGTCCATTGTGTAGCTTTGTGCATAACTTCAAACAAACAAACATAAAAACACGAGAGAGTAAGTTGATCAGTTACCTAAAAAGAATAGGTTAGTTCTTGAGTCAACAGTGAAATAGCTAGCAAGTCAGATAAAAGTTGTAAATTTTGAATTTGTATTTCATTAAAAATAGGGTTAATCAGTGAGCCAGTCGGTCAGTGATTGATTATTTATTTCGTTAATCTGTTATCACGCTATAAATCGATTACTGATTGCGTTAGTTAGCCACTGTTCAATTGTCGTACATACCAGATAAACTTTAATAAGTGACTGTTTAGCTTAAGTTGTGATTTAGGTCTATCACCATAGTGTGTAGAACTTGTAGATTATAGTCTAAGAAAGAACTCACTTTCGCTAAGGTTAAGTATACTGGATTTTGCATTATTTTTACCAAAAATAAAAAGGTACCTGCCCAATAATATTAACCATTAAAAACTAATTGAAAAATATACATTTATTGTTATATATGTATTTACCGAGATTTACAGATTCAATTAGCTTCGACAGTCTAACCTCAGAAATTTTAGTTTTTAACATGAGTGACAACTGACTCTTGTTCATAGATACTACAATTTTACTGTAATTTTATTATTATTTCCCCATATATTTTAATATTGTTCATTTAACTTTGAGTAAAATAATGAATACCTTTTTGTATAATCTTCTTTAGAAATAATCTTAAACATGGAAATAAAAGAAACTGAAATGCGATCCGATACTCTAAGCTGACTACTTGATTTTCACGCAAAGCTACTCGAAGGGCTATCTGCACTAGCCGTCCCTAGTTTAGCAGTAATAGATTAGATGAAAGGTATCTAGTCAATACCACCCACCGCCAACTCTTGGACTCCTATTTTACCAACAAATAAGGGAATTAACCACCACATATTAACACGCCCACAGCTGAAAGAGCGAATATGTTCAGTAACGGGGATTCGAACCCGCGACCCGCAGAGTGCGAGTCGTGCAGTTCAACCACCAGGCCAAGCAAGCTGTTAGAATCTTATAACTGAAGGCTTGTGGTACTAACAATAGTTTCTATGATAGGCAGAGTTAAACAAGTTTTTGGAACCTATGAACACAACGATTGAATTATTTGGGTTAGAGTTTTTGGGAGTTTTATTCTATAAATAATATAACAGAATTATTTCATATATGCAATAAAATGAAACGTTCTCACAAGAGTTTCCAGAATTTTCAGGGTTTTTAAATCAATTGTTCCAATGTTTCTATTGTTTGGCTGGTACTTTTGGATTATTCAGCAAAAAAAAAAAAGCAATGCAATCCACTTAAAGATAATGCAAGTGTTTTACTTTTTGACTACTATTACAACTTCTAACAATTTGACGTATTAATCTAACATTCACCAGCAATAGGCATAACTTCAAAAATAACATTAAACCACCGTTTAAGTTTTTTTATGTTTTCGAAACTTTTTCGCGCCTCTAGAACTTCCTTGAAACAAAAATTAACAAACTAGCTGACTAAATAAACAACAATACAATCCCCATCACTGAACATATTCGCTCTTTCAGCTGTGGGCGCGTTATAATGTGTTGGTTAATTCAATCCCACTATTTGTTGGCAAAATAGGAACCCAAGAATTGTCGGTGGATGATATTAACAACACAGTGTAGCAGAGTTTCTAAGCTTTAAAGAATGGTCTAGTCATTAAAGCCACGTGCTTAACCTGTGACGTCAAATTTCCTTCTGGTCAAACAACAATACAAACGTCGAAATCAAATAAAAATAGAATAAACGCAATGTTAAAAACGATATTGTTTAAAATTACAATATTCACAATCAATAATGAATTGCAGCCGTACATATATGTGATGTTGCTATATTGTTTTCTGAGGTAATAACTGATTTGTTTGATTATAAAATTAACTTACAATAATAACAGCACGTTAATATCAAGTCTTTATTAGTTATCATCCTAAACTGTAATTGACGGTAAATCATTCACTTTTCTCAAGCGATCTTATAATGTTCAATAAAAACTCGTCTCAGCAATAAAATGTTTTAACCTTCCTCACCTCGTAAACTGATTCGGGTATTTGGAATTCCTCTCTAGTGGCATATTCAATAAAGGCATCTACAAGAAAAATAACCGGTTGAAACAACTTTTACTGCAGATTACAAAATATAGTTTAAACAGAGGATTTGCAATGTGATAGATGACATGCTTCATAGCATCTATTTTATTACAAATATAACAACTCTAATCACATACGTTCCACTTAATAGACCATTGCTGGAAGCTATTAGCCATTAATGCTGTGTCAAATTCATTGTAACATATCAGCAAATTAAAAACATATGAACTTATTGCATTTATATATGTTGACTTGTGTTATAGATTGAAAGCTCCAAGGTAACTCAGTCTCTGACAGGCTAAAACTTCAGTTAGCAATGTAAGATTAAACACGACGACCTGACCCATTCTTGGGAAAGGTCTTCCATATAAAGATGTAGCATACCATGCCTTATGTCATTCATAGCGAATACACTAGTCACTATGACATCAGAACATGTTTATTCTAAGCACTATGGTTATACAATCAAAATAAACTTATGTGAAACAAAACATGCATAGTTAACTTAGTCAGAACCCTAACTATGGCGGCCAATGGAAACAGTCACTAATTAGCGAGCTCATCTATCTCACATACATGTGAATTATTTCACCATCATTGTATGGTTGTCATAGGGACAGACAGAGCTCGGGTCAATAGGGAGAGGATGGTAAAAAGTGCAACCAGTACCTCACATTGGAAACTGAAATTAGCCAATTCCTTTTGTGTTGGTGACCAAAGCTACTGAACATGAAGGTTTTCTAACCTGTCTTTTGACAACTCCAACCGATGCAAGTTCATCATAATATGAGTAAAGTAAAATCATGTCTTCATTTCGCAAATAAATCCCGAACAATGTTCGTGTAGTCTATATAAAAATTTTAATAACACTACAACTAAATGTAGTTAAAATATAGTTCATTATTTGTATCTATCTAATTCATAAATAATATTGAGATAAAACAGCAATATCAAAGTTCGAAAATTGTTTAATCATACAAATCATTAATATCTGTAAATCAAAATAACCTACAAACACCAGGTATACAAATCATATATATATATCTGTAGATCAAAACTACTTACAAACACCAGGTATACAAATCATATATATCTGAAAATCAAAACTACTTACAAACACCAGGTATACAAATCATAAATATCTGTAAATCAAAACAACTTACAAACACCAGGTATACAAATCATATATATCTGTAAATCAAAACAACTTACAAACACCAGGTATACAAATCATAAATATCTGTAAATCAAAACTACTTACAAACACCAGGTATACAAATCATATATATCTGTAAATCAAAACAACCTACAAACACCAGGTATACAAATCATATATATCTGTAACTCAAAACTACTTACAAACACCAGGTATACAAATCATATATATCTGTAAATCAAAACAACCTACAAACACCATGTATACAAATCATATATATATCTGTAAATCAAAACAACCTACAAACACCATGTATACAAATCATATATATATATGTAAATCAAAACTACTTACAAACACCAGGTATACAAATCATATATATCTGTAAATCAAAACTACTTACAAACACCAGGTATACAAATCATATATATCTGTAAATTAAAACTACTTACAAACACCAGGTATACAAATCATAAATATCTGTAAATCAAAACTACTTACAAACACCAGGTATATTGTGTTTTCTCTCATTTTTATCTTATAAATTATAACTTCAAAATATTTCTTCAACACAAATTAATAATGTAGTCTCACCACATTTTTCACCTGATGTGTTGTAAATTCTGTCATCTCCATTCCTGTTTCTCAGTGTATCAAATACAAATTCAAACTGTATATGTTATTATTTTTATTAAGAAAACACAGAACATGTCTCGATTAAACACTGAAGTTTCAACCAAATCTAAAACATCTAGAAACAAACAGGTCACAAAATAGGATTTTTACATTCATAAATACAAAACCTTATATCCTTATGATCTGAATTAAGATTATAATGGTACTACTGCTATAAATTCAAGTAATAACAATTGTATCGGTAATTTCTTTTGTTTAGATAGTTTTAACAAAAAAATGTACAAAAAGAAAAATAAGAGAAAAAGGTAAAAATAGAATAAAATGGGTAAATTTTATAGATTTTTGTCCGAATTTATATAGGAAATTTTATATACTTGCTAACAGTAGTAGTTATTTCTACAAAAGTGTATATAAACTGAGCAATTCAAAGTTACAAATATTAGCAGAAACCGTAGTGACATTTAATTTCCAAAATAATCATGCCAAATACTTAATTTTTGATATTCTAAAATTTAATCTAAACGTAAATAATTTAAATGCTATGATTAAAAAGTACCAATAATATAATCGTCATACATAGTAATTCATTTTAAACACAAAATTGTTAATGATTTGCAAATTTCTAGAATTTTCATGCTTCTGTAATACAAAATATTTTTCCTTTAAAATATTTAAAACCTATTATCAATTTTAAATATGAACATCCAAATGGACCACTTATGTATAATCATAAGTATTTTTTAAATATTTTAGATATAAGTAATGTACACAATTTACCATGTGATTGTTACTCAAACTCTTTGGTAGATTATTTTACATAAGCATATTATAACTGAATAATTTCGATATTACAAAAAATAATTGAGATTTAGATATTAATATAATTAATAATTATAGTAATATTAATATTCGTGATAAAAACATTATTACACATTTCAAATATATGGACTTTCCTCTGTTGTGCTAGCTGTTGTGTCCATTGAGAACAATCAAACCCCTCATTTAAGCAGTGTAAATCCATAGACTTACCACTGCCCCACTGGGGGACTTTTAGATATTATAAATTTGTAACAGTATATAATCTTTAATATCTAATACAAATATATTAATACACAAATATATTTTCAATAGCTTTCACTAACATAACTTAATCAAATATTTTAATTATTTTATAATAAATAAAACAAGTATTTACATAAATTTGAAAATAATGACTAAATAAAATTATAATATAAACAATAGAAAATAATTTTTAAAATTTATTGGTGTGAAGGGAATAATTAGAATTGCTTATTTGGACATTTTGTATCTTATAAAGTTGGACTAATGCAGTTGTATCACTTTTCTTATATAAGACTTGCTACTATGTAGATCTCTTTAGAACCGTTGAAAATCCAGATGGTGGCATAGAAAAGTGGAGGATGAGAGCTATACTAATAACAAAATTTGGGCTTAGAATAGTAATACTTTAACATCTTAGTATTTTTGTCTAAACATCATATTGAGACTGCATTTCCAACTTCAAAGACAGCCTTGCTATCTCCCCCATTGATGTATAGTACACTAATTATTATATTTATTACTTTTTATTATTTTTTGTGAGCAACCATCTTTCCGCTTCTGACTGCAAACAGCGAAAGTTGGTAAAGATGTGGGACGTTGTGGGCATAAGCACTCACAACAACTACATTAATTATGAATAAGCGATTTTTTAATCACCTCTATAAAACAATAATGATGAAATTAATATAAATCCAAAACATTACAAAGAGACTCAAAAAATCAAAATTAATTTTTCCATTACCAGTCCTTGTCGTCATCATTAAAACTCAAAGTAATGAGAGTTTTCTTCATTCAATTGAAATAGTCTATTTTAACAAACATTCATTTACTAATGTCAAAATTACTATTTTAGAAAAAAAAGTATATAATGTCAATTTATTAAGAGAACAAGAAGAATACTTTATCTTAAAAGAAAAACTATTCTCCTTATCGATTAAACCAGAATTTTCACAATAAAAGTGCTGAATATTTAAGTAAAGATATTTGTATTAGACGTTTATTCCGGATAAATATTTATAACATGAAGCAAGATAAAAATAGGGGTACAGATAAAAATAGAAAGAAAAATGGACTAATTTTGAGAAACTTTATGAAAATTTAGATTATGCTTTTAATAGATCTATTAATATCTTAAAACTTATAATAAACGAATTACCTGAATTAAATGACACAAAACTTAATTATCTGTCAAAATATGTGTTTAAACATATTCCTATTAAAGATTTAATTCAAGATCTAATCAATTTTTTCTTAAATTATTTAAAAACAGCCAACTCTGTTGCTACATTATAAACTAAAATAGATCGGAAAGATTTAAACAGGATTTTTAATGATCTACTTGATAAATTTGTATATACAGAAATGATTATTACAAAATTTGAAGTTACTAAGCATCAGTGTAAAAAATTACTTAACTTTGGTATCTATAACAGTTATACTACTTTCAATAAACATTTATACAAGTAAACAGTGAATATTCTGATGGATGCTAATTTCTTTTCAAAACGGCTAACTTGTATCTGTTCTTCTATGAAAATTCATTTTTGAAACAGATATCAAACTCTAATTTACTTATCTTTACTTTTCGTTACATAGATGATTTAATCTCTATCGGCAATTTGAATTTTAATCCAAATATAATATCTCCAAAGGAAATTATAATAGAAATGATATTAGTGCAAATTACTTAGACTTAGACATTAATTTTGTATGAGGCAGAGTACACTTGACTATTTTTGATAAAAGAAGGGAATTTGATTTTTCCATCCTTGGTGTACTCACCCGTATCAGTATTGTTCCGTCTATACTGCTAACAGGAATTATTATCTTTCAATTAAAAATATTTTTAACAATTTGTAACAATAATAATTCTTTTATGGATAATGTTCAATAATTCATAAATAATTGTTTGTTTGTTTTTAATTATGCACAAAGCTACACAAGGGCTATCTGTGCTCTGCCCACCACGGGTATCCAAACCCGGTTTCTAGCGTTGTAAGTCCGCAGACATACCGCGGTGCCACTGGGGGCTTCATAAATAAAATGAAACATAATAGTTATAAGGACTGGCATATAAAAATATTTTATACTATTTTATAATAAATATGAAATTATGTTCAAAAGTAAACTCTCGATTACAGAAAC